GTCGCGCGCCGGCCCGGGCCTCCGAGGGCGTGGCCCAGGCGCGCCGCGCGCAAGCCCCGGACCGCGAAGGGCGGGGCAGAGGGGGAGGGCCGCCAATCGCCTCGCTCCTCGTCCTCCCAGGGCTGACGCCTTAGGGCGGAGGCGGCGCGCCCCAGCACGGCTGCCACTTCCGGCTCCCGTGCGACCGCCGCGCTTGCGGGGCGAGTTCCTGGGGCCCGCGGGCGGCTGCGATCGGGCCCCTCCCTTCCCGCAGTTCTCGCTTCACTCACGTCCCTGGCGCGTGGATTAAATACTTCCATCCCAGCTGGTCGTGTTAAGAATGATTAAGTAGCAATTTTATACGTAATCCTTTACTAATCAATTACATTAAGTAATATAATACATTAATTAAAGGATATAAGAATGATTAAGTCGTATTAACGACTGTAATGTCTCAGCCAGGAGTGTGTGTGGGGGGGGCTCCTCCTCTCTCCCCGTCCCCGTCTCCTTGTGGGTCACGTCTGGGAGACCTCTGGCCAAAAGGGGGCACCCGCAAATAAGCGAGGAAGAGGAGAGAGAGCGAGCGAGCGAAATTATTATTATTATGGTTGGTCGCCAGGCCAGCCAGATGTTCAGACTGGACTTGGCATTTTGTCCACCTCTCGAGTCCTTCCCAAGGACCTGGGATAGGCAGATGTTGCTTGATGGTGTCAAAAGTATCATCATCATCATCATCATCATCATCATCATCATCGCCGCCGCCGCCCCAAATCGCCCTCGCCGGAGGATTCTCTTTCCCAGGAAGAGCATCTGCTAAAGGAAGTCGCTGCAGCGTGACCCGGAAGGGGAAACCTTTGACCCCCGGGGCAACATGGCGGCGTGGCGGCGGTTACTAAGCGACGCGGGGTTCAGGGGCGCTGTGGAGAGATTCCGGGCGACGAGGCAGGTGAGAGACGCGAGGCAGCCCCGCCTCTCCCTGCGGCCCGTCAGGCGGCCGTTCTGCAGGTCGAGTCCCGCTCGGCTGCGTCTGAGGGGCCCCCTTGAACTCAGAGGGGTCAGGGCGGGGCCGGCGTGGGTGGTTGAAAGGCCCCCGAGGCTCAGCCCGTCGGGGGTTATGGGCACTGGAGTCCCGAGCAGCCGGAGGGCCCCGTTCCGCCCTCTCGACAGCGCTGCGAGGAAGGCCGGGAAGCCCTCCTTTCGGTGCGCGGAGTCGCAGCCGCGGTGCGGGTCGTAGTTCAGCGTAAACGCGCGTTTCAATAAACCGCTTCAGTTTCAATCCACCGCCTGACGCGCTTTCGGCGGCCTTTCCCGGGCCCCCGACGCCTGCTCTCTCTCCCTTCAGTTTTCCTGCCTGGACGGAAGGAGGCTCGTGGCCCGCTGCCGTCTCGAAGCCCCTCCCGGCCTCCTGCGGCAACCCCGAGGTGAGGCTCCGCTTGAGTCGCCGGAGGGCCGGGGGCGCCCGCGAACTCCTCTCCCGGCCCTCGCCGCGAGGCGTATCCGGACTCTGCGCCCCTGCTTTTCCTATTCCCAGGGGCTGGAATGAGGGGGGGCGGTGATAGCTTCTGCCGCAGCCATTATTGCCAGCCATTGATAGAATAGCATATGCCACTTTACATTTCTCCTTGGATTTCCTTAAAAATGCCTCACTCTATGGGGAAAAAAGGCTTCTTGACATTCCACGAGGAGTAACTTGCAGCTTCAGCCTCATAACGGAGGGGCAAGTATTCTTTCAATGATTGGGAGGAAGGACTTTCTGCTGTAAAAGCGTGCCTTTGTAATTTCCAGTACATGCTACTGTGGGGTGTGAGATAACCCATGCCACTTCTGAGCTCTGGCGAATTTCCTTGCCGCTGTAGTATTTTTTTCTCCTGTCGTTTTTTCCAGAGATTTGCTGGAGGCCTTGCCCATCCAGAAACTCCTCAGCTGCTACCGTCAACCGCACAGAAGACAACATATTAAAATGGGGGCTTCTCCTCATCCCTATAGGTGCATTTTGCCTTGGCACTTGGCAGGTAAATATCACTGGTGAAAGGAGGGCTGACTGTTTGGAGCTTTCTAGCTGAAGTCTGTGTAAACCGATGGGTAACCTGGTACCTTATTCCCATGCTTCCTCACCCTTTTGGGTGGTATAAATCAAGCTGTTAGATGTCTGGAATTCAGTGGGACTCTCACGTCAGATAGGAATTGAGTGAATTACTTATTGAACTCAAAGTTCCTTCTCCAGTGCAGTTAATCTTTTGGTTTTAAGTAGGATTGGGTGCTAAACGAATTAAACAAAAGGTTTGGTCAATGTGCTTAATTGTCTCTGCTTTTATTTACTAGACAGCAAAATATTTAAAGAAAAGCATGTCCATTAATAATCACTAGGAGTGCCTTTTGTTGAGCAAGACTCTTTAAGGGTGTATGGAATTTCTTTCAAGTGTTATTCTTGTTATTCTAATTTATTATTCAATAGAGCAGATTTAAAAAGCTTGCTACTTTGTTGTGTAAATACATAATGCTGTTGTGGGAGAGAAAATCTGTAGATTGAGATGTATTTCTCACACTTTACAGCGGAACAAAGATTGATCTACCTTTATGTGGTTTATGTCAGGTTCAGCGGCGGGAATGGAAGCTGAAACTGATAGAGGAGTTGGAAAGCAGGGTGTCTGCGGAGCCAGTTCCATTGCCAACAGAGTAAGTGTCTTTTGGGAATGGTAAAGAGAATTAGAATTTTACTGAGAACATGAAATGGACATGTTCACTTTTATTTTGGTGGGCAAGACCAATCACAAAAGGTTTTTTTCATCAGAAAGAAAATTGGTGCAAGTGTTCTGTGCGCTCCCTTTTATCGCCCAGGATACACTCTACCCCTTCAGTCATCTAGAAAATAAATTCTCTTTTGTTTCATTTGAGCAACTTTGTAAAATGTACTATACAAATAATAATAAAATTGCTGCCAGGGCAGATGTTTCCCCATATGCTTACACTTTTGCAGGTTCATCTTGCAGAATTTAACTTGCCTCATTTCACTACTAACCGTTCACGTTGCTAGTTTTATGAGAACTATAGCCCTGGCAGTCGTAATTGTTCCAGTTAGGGGAGATGGGTGGCATGCAAATTTAATAAATAAAATAAATGAACTAACTGGCAGAGACCATGTTATATGGGGACAAAAGGTAGTAGAAAACCTACAGTCTGCTGGGTGTTTGAAAAAAGGCATGCAAATTCACCATCTGGGTTGTCTAAGCTTTCTTTATAGCAAGTTGAGGCCTGTTGCTTCTTATTTTACTATTATTTGCAGATAATTTTGTCTGCTCTCCCCCGCCCTCAATTATAGTCATATTAATCAGTGAAACTCATTTCTCACCATGAGCTTCTGACGTCTGAGCTATAACCCAGATTTCCCTTCCAATCTTGCTTTTTTCTACAGCCTCTATGAAGTGAACGAATTGGAATACAGGCCAGTGAAGGTCAGAGGTCATTTTGACCATACCAAAGAGCTGCACGTGCTCCCACGCTCCCCAGTGGATCCTGAGAAAGAAGCCAAGAATGCTGGCCGACTCATGTCTAATGTAGAGAGTGGAGCCCACATCATCACTCCTTTTTATTGCACTGATCTTGGGTGTGTATATTAGCAGCTAGAAGATGTAAATGCAATCTTGCACTCGCTCACTCTGAGAATTAAGTTGGTGGAAGTTCCCACTGAGTGCCTTTTTTTTTTTTTTTTAACCTGCAGGATAACAATTCTAGTCAACAGAGGATTTGTTTCCAGAAAGCATCTGAATCCAGAGACCAGATTAAAGGGACAGGTATGCTGTTTGCTTTGCAAGAGATTAGCACTGTCTGCTTAAAGAATAAAATAAAAATCTGCATCTAACAATAGGTCCTATAATTGAAATTATTTATAATATGTTTTGTAAATTTTTTTTTGTTCCTTTATATATTTGTTTTGGGTTTAACTAGTCATTGGAAAGGGACAGGAAAATGTGTTCCCAGAGCAAGCTTCCAACTGGATTTAACTTTACTAATGTTCATCTGTCAAGATGTGAATTTCCCCCATGTGATAAACAGATGTCTGGTGGTTTGGAGAGCATAGAAAGCTTTTGTTCACGTGTCACAAGGCTTTAGAAACTTCTGCTATTCATGACAACATAAATGAAATCAAACTGAGGAGCTGGTAGAA